CGACTATGCACGCTTTGAACTGATAAAATGTAGACTACATTCATAAGACTGAAGTAATCGAGTAAGTAAGCCAAATGAAGCGCTTCTCGATACGCCACGTCGGTAATTCTGACTCATATCGTACTGCCATACAAACGGTTTATGATAGATTACAAATTTGATTTTTATTCACGAGGCAACTCCAACTTTCAAAGAATTCGGTGCTCCCTTGACTGCTTTCACTCTTGGATAATCGCCAAGAGGTTTGCCCTGAGTCACCTGAGCGAAATCTTGAATAACTACCGATGTTTGCTCGGGTGAATCACTCCTCGGAGACCTACGCGTTTTCAATAAACGCGTGGACGTCATCGTTTCTGATAAGCGGAGATAACAATTCCGCTTAAATAAACAGCCGACGGCCGAATACCGTCAGTCTCAGTTCGACACTCTACTGCTATGGCTTTTTACGGAAACCCGTACGGCAACTACCAGCCTTATCCGCCTCCTCCTCCCGTTGGAGGCTTCTACGGAGGTGTTCCAACAGTTGTTCCTCCACCAATCGTTCATGCACCAATTGTGGCTCCACCAATTGTGGCTCCACCACCAGTCGTCATCATAGACGATCACCATCATCACGGTTATCATCATCACTATGAGATGTTCCATCCGTTCCATCATTACGATCATCACCATCATCATCACTGCTGACCACTCAACGGAAGGTCGCTGATTTATAATGGAACGGTTGTTATGTGATAAAAATTGATACCTCGTGATTTTGTACATGTTTGTAAATAAGTTTTACTTGAGATATTTTATGAAGCTCAATAAATATTGAACTCATCTGTTTCTTATTTACATCGAAATTGAGAAAATAACACAGATTTCTCACGAGAAAAAAAAAATAAAAAGCTAACAAGTGGTGTCATTGACTTAAGAGTAGTCTTTGAGCTCCGCTTATAAGTCATAGATTTCTGATAGGAAAACGAGTTTTATAGACTTACGAAGCGCTCAAATCTGAACACGAACGAATTTAATGGTCCCAAAAAGTAATAAAATTGGAACTTGGAAGTTGGAACTTCGTTTTAGTAAATCGCTTAGTTAAAGCCAAAGAATACTGTTAAACTGATGTCCGGAGAGGCCGAAGGCCGAATTTGTGTGGTTCCGCAAGCTTCAAGTGACTTCTAGCCTAGGTTTCATCGTCACAGCCTGGAAGCCACAGATTGTTGAAAATTAGTCTCTCTCGAGAGCAGCTCCAAAACTTAGTTCAATGCGTGGAGGAAATGCGCTTCCGTCGCGTTCCATTGCGATCTCAGTGGAAGGTGGAAGCATGGCCTCATTCAAGATCGTTCGATTCGCTGTGAAAGATAACGGAGAGAGAGAGCACTATCAAGTGAACGTCCTGTATTCGAGTTCCGTATTGATGGCCCAGGACGATGAAGCCTTTTATCTTTGCCTTGTAAGGGGGGATGGAAGTACCGGCTAGGAACACAATTCATTAATAGGCCACGTACACAATCGAAGGGCTCTACGATTTTCAACCGAAGT